TAGGTATTTCTTATCTTCAGTTTATCTTTGAATTGGTTGATTGTAATTTGAATATGTATTATAATTATAATATAGTTTTTCGTCAAACCTGTTGTTGAATCACAAATTAACCCCTTAATTTGTAATCTCACATTATTCTTAACTTCTGAATCTTTTATAGTTTCACCGTGTATAAGTGACATTGTAAAACCATATCGTATAATATTTTAATAATTAGTTCATTTACCTACAACTAAATAAATTGCCGAATAATATATTTAGATAGAAAGCAATGACCTATGAGCTTAGGTATGAATTATTTGTGAGATTATAAATTGGGGATTTGAGTTCATATATTATATGAATACAGTTTATCATAAGTAGTTACCTAACGAACATCGTATTGTGTAATTACTAGTATCTGTCAATAAATTAACACTTTTACTTCACATTTTCAACCTTTTATTATACCGATCATCATCGATCGACAAGAAGCGGACAAAGGGGCATTTACAAACCGATTCGAACCTCAAAACTACGTTCAAACCTTTCCACTGTCGTTAAGACTAACCTGCTAACTCTTGCGAAAAATATTTCCGTAGATCTATTTATTTATTCCTTTTAGATAATATCTTAAAATATTTAGAAGAAGGACTGTCACCGAAAGTTAGGAATCTATTAATTTAATCTTCGAGTTCTTTTACCTAAAAATGATATCACACCAGAAGATAAAGTTGCATTAAGAAGAATTGTTGATACCTTCTAGGATATTATTGGACCATCTACTGTATATTCCTCAGTAGAATAAGAGATTTCACTGTGGATTCAAAAGTGGAAAAGAGTTGTGCAAAATAATGGAAAAATTTTCTGATTTTATTTTAGAAGTATTAGAAAACTGCGATATTCATATGTATCCAAATATCAGAATATTTCTAAAAATATTAATTACACTGCCATTCAATCATCGAGCAAAAAGACAAAAGAGGGAATCTAATCGTTATGAAAAGGAGACCAAAAAAGTTGCCTCTGATGGCGGACATATCCGAAGATGCGAATGCGCCAAATTGAAATTTTTCGACACTTATTAAGAGTAGCTATAAAATAGTTTTAAGAATGTGCCTTAGACGAGAAACTTTAAATAAATATTAACGATACCAGTCTAAAATGTGACACAATTATTAAAAAACTTCAATATAAATAAGATTTCATGTGACAGTTGGGACAAACAATAACATAACCCAACTAAATTTGCTTTCTTAGATGGCACTTCCTGTCTAACAATATTTTTGCCCCCACTACCTTTACATTCCCTCTTTTGTCTTTTTGCTCGATGCATTCAATACAGCAACACCAGAGAGTTATTTTTTACGCTTAAGCGTCTAAAGACTTGGCTTAGAAATAGAACTTCGGAGAAAAGATTAGCTGGTTTAGCATTTATTAATGTGCATCCTGATATTTCTCTAGATGTTGATGCAATCATAGAGCGATTTGCTAAGTCGGATAGGCGAAAAATATATTTTATAAAATTATATATTTACTTATCTTATTCTTATAGTATTTTTAACGCCTGAACTTTTATTTACCACTCGTTGCCAATTATTGATGACAATTCGTGAGACAAATTTCAACACCGAATAAAAAAATGCTTCACTCACTTGTAGCCCAATATGCCCAATTATAGAAATAAATATTCTTACATTATAATATGTTTTTTGTTGAATAAATTAATTTAAATAAAATGCTGTTTACACTTCTTCTTAAGATTCTTTCTTCATTACGGAAGGGTGGCTATAACTACAGCAAATAGCTCTCTATATTGAGTTGTTCTTAGTATCCAATGTGTCCATGCCTGTCCAGTCTCTTACATTCTTCCGCCATGAGTAATTTTTTCTTCCTGGATCTCTTTTTCCTTCAACTTTCCCTTCCATTATGTGTCGTCTCATTTTTCTGTTGTTTAAAATATTTAGGAGTTCTTTCTCAGTCCTTATTCTTCTCAGCACCTCGTCGTTGGTCACGTGCTCTGTCCACGAAATCTTTAGTATCCTTCGAAAAACACAAATTTCAAAGGCTTCTATAATAATATAATATACGTTTATTCAAATCAATAAGTATTACATTAATTTACAATTTCAGTTTACTTACAATAAAATAAACGTAAAAAAAGCCTTTAAAGCATTAACATGCTTGTTGACTTAATCTGTCTAATATTAACAGGTTTAATGTTTTTTTTTACAAATTATTATTTCATTTTTACAGTTTCTACTCTAATCTAATTTGTTTCGTTTTCTTATCTAGTATAATTTAAATTTATTAAATTGTTACACAACTCCCTTTGTTCTTTTACCCAAGCATTAACTAATTTTTTTATACAAATAAAAATTTTTGATATTTTTAAAATTTATGGGCAATTGATTGTATATTCTTGGAGCAAAATATTTAATTGACCGTTGCGTGATTGTTTTTGAAGTGTGAAGACATTCAACATTCAATTTTCTTTTTGTTTCATAATTTGACACTTTTACTTTAAGAGGTATTTTATCTTTATGAATATTTTTAAGTAGCTCTAAGCAGTATAATTGCCGAACATCAAGAACCTGAGTTTCATTAAAAAGTTGGTCTGAGGGATATGTTTTTCGTTTTCCATATATTAGTTTAAGAAACCATTTCTAAGTATTTTGAAGAGTCACCAGATGGCAATCAGCTACGCCACCTCATCCTAAAATCCCATATACAAGATGATATTGTACTAAAGACAGGTAAAGCATTTTAAGCTGTTCAACATCTAAAAACTCTTTTAAATAGCGGAATTTTGGTAACAGTCCTCGTACTTTTCTCATAATATTTTTTATTTGTAAGTCCCATTTAAGGTGCCTGTCAATTAAAACTCTTAAATATTTTATGTATTCTGCTTTAAATATTTGTTGTTTTTTATTTATTTTTAATGAATTAAAAGTTGGCAGAGAATTTTTATATATTGCAAAAGGTATATATTTAGTCTTTTCGTAATTTATTGTGAGTTTGTTTATTTGCAACCATGTTTTTATAACTTTGAAGTCTTGTTCAACTATAGTTTTAAGATCTTCCCATTTATCGGCCTTATAAATAAAAAATTGCGGTGTCATCAGCAAAGCTTATTATGTTTCCATCAGTTTTTAGTTCAAGCATGTCATTAACATAGAGTGTAAAGAGTAGAAGGCCTAAAACGGTCCCTTGCGGTATGCCATAATTAATTACTTTAGGATCACTTTCGACACCATCAATTTCTACAAATTGTTTTCTGTCTGTTAAGTAACTTTTTAGTAATGTCAAAACGCGTCCTCTCAGACCATACTTCTCAAGTTTCTCTAACAAGATCCCGTGAGATATCGTGTCAAACGCCTTAGAGAGATCGACAAATATGCATAAACTACGTTTATTAGACTCAAAAGCTTCTGATATTTGTGATGTTAGTTTACAAATAGCATCTTGTGTAGATTTTCTTTCTCTAAAACGGTATTGACAATCCGATATTATATTAAACCTATCCAAAAAACTCACTAATCTATTTTTTAAAATGTATACGCCTCATACTTGTAATTCCGAGAGTTCATGTTTCCACTCCGTATAGCAATAAGGAATAAATGAATGTTTTTACAAATTGATATCGGATATCCAACGATAAGATAGAGAAAAACAGAAGATAGACTCGAATTTGCAATGGTTATAGCCAACATTAGTGGAGACGGCACTAGTAGAAGAAAAAGAAGATAGAGTTTATTAGGAATGTTTAATACATTTATTAATGTTTACACCTACACTGAGTTATTAGACTTAAATTACTTAACTTTGGTTTATACTTATACTTCATCTAATTTAGATAACGACTTACGTCATTATCTACGTTAGAGATCGAAGTTGACATAGTTGCCAAAGTATAAAAAAATCCTGACTCCATTTTAAATCAAATAGATTACATAATTATTGCAAAAGTATTACCATCTCTTTACAACGACTATTTAAATTCTTACGTGACATTTTTTAAATAAAACACACTAATTTTGTTCTAAAAAGAACAGATTTTATTAAATAGTTAAAAATATAAAACAAGAGATATTCACTTTAAAATTCAAAATAATGAAGTACAAAAAGTGTCAACACCGCAACTGTCAAATAAGTGTTACCAATTTATGCCAAAATTTTAGCTTTGTTCGATTACAGTTACAGTGTGTTCCGAACAAATATGTTCTTGATAAAAACGTTTTATAATGCATTTATACAAATTAAATGAAACATATTATTGTGTATTTCTTTAAGTAAACATTAATAGAAATTTTTAAATATTATTTCTACGCGTATATAATAAAATATGTCTAGTGGCTGTAATGCCAGTGTACTCGGTAAAGTGATTCTAAAAAAGAACACACCTACACCCTAAATATTTTGTGTTGGTATCATGTAACGTCACAGGCTATGACGCCGATGACGTGCATCGTTACATAAATTAGATGAAGTGTATTTATCCTTGGTTTGTTCGATTTTGTAGCCATAGGACAGGTGGATTTAAATGAATTGTCTTTAAAATACCTAGTTTTAATTGACAGTTCTTGATTTTTCAATATATATATATATATATATATATATATATATAATATATATATATAATATATATATATATATTAATAACTTTCTTTTGGTTTAAAAGTCTTGTACACTTAATTTTACCGGTATTTGAGTTTTAATAACTTCTCATTGGTTTATTATCTTGCTCAAACTAATTATCGGAAAGGTGTAAAAAAATCTAAATCCCATACCATATTCACCCTCAAGACCCATGACCTCCTCTCCTCCCTACAAACATTTCTGGGAATCAGCCATTGAAATGTACAGAAATCTAAATCCTATATCAAAATCACCCTCAAGACCCATGACCCCCTCTGACAAAAATTTCTGAATCCGCCACTGTAGAGCTGCGTGACTTTCTGTATGATAAAGCTTCTTACTCACCTAAACTGTTTAGTAGAAATAATTGAAAAAATGTTAGCTCGTGTAAAAATTAAAATATAATTTACTAATACCACCATTACAATATTTAACACATTATTTAACAGTACTTTTTTGTTTAGTAATCGTTATAGTTGACGATTCTGTTTCGTTATCGGGGCTAGCTCCATCCGCGAAGAGGACGTCTGGTAAAGATCCCGAAGGCTCGACTAATTCTTCGGGAACATCTTCAACGTTTGCTTGCGTCGTCCAAGCTGGTGTTAGAGATCGAGTTGCTTCTGTAACTACACTAGTGTTGAGGAGAGTGTTTTTAGCCGTAAAAAGTACTTTGTCTATATAGAACATTGTGCCTAAGTTGTAAACGAAAACTTCACTTTCTACTATTTCTGCGTCGTTGATATATACGTGATCTAAAAAAGAATGTATAGATAAGAACAATCGCTATATGGTACCATCTAATAGTATACAATAAAATATATTGAATTAAAGTACTTTTTTGCAGAGTAAATATAGGCTGAAGTCTACAGTGGTGAGTGCCTTATCACCAGGCTTTTTAACGTAAGAGATAGAAATCACAGTTACCTTGTGAAATAAAAGGAGATGAAACTCGTAGAGGTGGGAAATAATCGATAGAAACCTATAATTTACATTACATTACATTACAACTATCGATAGTCTCACATCTTTAGACGTTAACCCCCTCTGTGGCTCAGTGGTAAGAGCGCCTGCCTTTAAACCTAAAGGTCGTGAGTTCGAATCCCACCTGGGTGGAAATTTTCGTTTATTAAAAAAATTAATAAATGAAAATAATTTCTATCCTTGTGTGATCGGTACACACCGGAGGGACCGCAGACGTTCGGATACAATTAGCGTCTCTTAGCAAAGACAATGACGTCGACTTTGCTAAGTATCAAGACAATTACTCTACACACACACACACACACACACACACACACACACACACACACACACACACACACACACACACACACACACACACACACACACACACACACACACACACACACACACACACACACACACACACACACACACACACACACACACACACACACACACACACACACACACACACACACACACACACACACACTACACCTCAAATTGTAAGATTGGCGAATGGATTTAGTGTCCGCAGTCATTTAAACACAAACAAACAACAACAAATCTTTAGACGTTATCTTCGATCTAAATCACCTCGGTCATAATTATTAAGTTTGACAGTTTGACGTCGTATGTGTAATGTATTTCCATTTTTTAATTTAGATAAAGTAAAAACTGATTAAGCACAATAAAGCAAAAATGTGAATAAAATAATTTAATTAATAGTGATTACTTATTCTAAAGTTTTAAATTATTATTCAACAATAATTTCTACTATGATCTGAGGAATTTCATACACTATTGTCACTGAATAATTAGCAATCCTTCGTGGATTAGTGGTAAGAATTTGACTCTACGACGCAGATGATTAGAGTTTAAAACCTACATGAGGTTTTCTTTTTTCTTTTTTTAATAATTTGAAATTATGCAGAGATCGTTTTGCTTTAAATCAATAAACATTTATGTCAGTCGTTACTAGTATTTGAAGTGTTTTAAAGTTCAACATAAATATCTTATTAAAAAAATAGTGTCGTCGTACTTTCGAAAATAAAGTAAAAATTCTTCAAAATTAAAAGAATGTTTAAATAAGTAAAAATTTTACAAAAAGAAAAAAAATATTGTAAATATACGTATCTACAATATGTTCAAATAAGCCTTCATTAGCAGCAGAATAATAACCCAAACTGTCATTAAAGAATTATAAAAGTCTGATAGATCAGGGTTCAAGGGTTCAAGGGGATGTACTCATGCAGGCGGTTAGGGTTCAAATCCTACACGAAGTTTTTACTTTTTTTAAAATTTAAAATTATGCAGATATTATATCGTTTTGCTTTAAATCATAAACATTTATTTCAGTCTTTATTAGAAGTGTTTATAGTAAAACATGAAAATCTTATTGAAAAAACAATGTCGTACTTTCGAAAATAAAGTAAAAATTCTTCAAACATAAAAGAACGTTCTAAATAAATGTACTTACAAAAAATGTTTAAATAAGCAGAAATTCTATAAAAATATTCTAAATAAACGTATTATATTCTAGTGAAATGTATTTACAAAAAATGTTCAAATAAGCCTCCATTAGCAGCAGAACAATAACCCAATGTATTATAAAAGTTTCGTCTAACATTAGTTAATGTTTCTGGACTAATACCTCTCCTTGAATCAGAGATCTTTTCTCTTAATTCTTGGAGAGAATTAGGCTTATCGTCTTCAATTCCATATAGTTTGGACTTTATATATCCCCACATAAAAAAATCACAAGGTGCAAGATCAGGTGATCTTGCAGGCCAAAAAATATCTCCGTATCCACTAATCCATCGATTAGGAAAAGTCGCACTGACATATTCACTGACGATGCGAGAATTATGTGCAGGACAGCCATCGTGTTGAAACCATATGGAATCGAAAGGAATTGGTAAATTACGAAGGGCTGGGACAATTTGATTTTACAGAAGTTCCAAGTATTTCCGCCCAGTCAACATACCGTCTATAAAAAATGGACCAATGATATGATTTCCTATTATGCCTCCCCAAACATTTACTTTTTGAGGACGCTGGGTACGAGCGACATAAATCTGACGAGGATTTCCTCGGGACCAATACCGAGCATTCATTGAATTGTGACGGCCATGCAATGAAAACGTACATTCATAGGTGAACAAGACGTTCTCTAAAAAATGTTCATCTTGATGTGACATTTCCATTGCAGTTTGACAAAATTCTAATTGTCTATATTGATCCCCAGGGAATTGTTCGTTGGATTTATGAAGTTTATAGGGTCGCATCCATGTCTTTTCAAAATTTTACCAACTCTAAATCTTGAAATTCGATATTGTTCTCCGAGACCAGATGTTGATTGGGTAGGATTTTGCTCAATACTTGCACAAATCAAAGTGTCCCTTAGTTCCAAATCTGGATTTACCTCCCTTCGTCTACGAACTCCTTTTGGAGCGAACACGGATCCATAAGTAAAAAAAAATTACGTATAATAGATTGAATTGTTGATCGTGATGTAGCCTGCCTATTTGCAAACATATTTACAAATTGTTATCTAATCATGTTGTCTGAGAATCCATTCACATGCCAGACAACAATTTGCACTTTTTCCTCGACCGTTAAAACCATTTTCACGAATTGTTTTTTCAATAAAAAGTTTCTGTGTACCGTGCAAAAACACTTCTCGATATGTTATTATTTGATGGCTTAAAGGCTTCGCTTCGCGCGCATCCATTCCACTGTTGTCAATTGTTTTGAAAATCATTACCTGTACAGAGGAATTGATATTGAGAATTTAGTGATGGATTTGATATAAACAGTCTTCACCGGATTATTTTGCATTCACAACTGAAGACTGTATGAATTGAATTTGAATTATTTTGTATTTCCGTTTTATAACATTGGAATAAAAATAAATTGTAAATAATCAGTTTTTCGAAAATTTGATACCTAATATGTATCATATTTTCTATTATTTTTTTATTGATAAAACAAAAATTTTATCCTTAGTGTGAATTGAACCCCAATTTTCTCGTCAATAGACAACGTCCCTAACCACTACACCAATTTCACATACATTAATCGTTTTCGGACAAAACATACCTACCTTTATTTTAGTCAAATATTTCAGTTGAGTTATTTTTACTATTAAATAAATTTAAAGATTTATAATTTAAAATCGCTACTAATGAATGTTTTTTACTATAATATATCTTAATTTATTCAAGTATTTATTCTAACATCAGAAATTATTAAAATAAAATATTTTTAAGGTTATCCGTATAATTATGACTGAGGTCAAATAGCCATGTCTAACGTGTAAAAATGTGGGACTGTCGATGGTGGTAATGCGATGTAATGTAAATTATAAGCTTCTATCGATTATTTCCCACCTCTACAAGTTTTATCTCTTTTTATTTCACAAGGTAACTGTGTTTTCTATCTCTTACGTTAAAAAGCCGGATGGTAAAGCACTCATCACTGTATAATTTTTTATTAGTAAAGTTTCACCCACAACTGTGGCAGATATTACTGATTGCTAGAGTTGGATGGACTCAAAACCTCTTGAAGAGCTGATCTGAAACCATGCATCTACGAATGGATTATACTCTGCGCAATAGACCAGGTTACAGAAGTGTATTCCTAAAGCCTGTTGATGGAAAAATATTCCTTTACTACCTAACAACTACGCCACCACAAGCGTCTTTTTGCACCACCTTTTCACTGTTAGGATAAGGGTCAAGACAGATATCGTATTTTTATATAAGGTTTTTGAATAGTCTTATGGATTGTTCTGATATTCTGGACTTGCTTGGTCTGAGGGTAGGAGATTTACGCACAAAATACAGGTCATTGTTTCATATAGGATTTCATTCTACAAACTATGGGTACAATAACCATTTGGCTATTCCGGTTCGTCCTATTATGACTATCACAAAAACAACAGCACTAAAAATGCGGGTGACACAAAGGCGCATGAAAAGATCGATTCTCGGCGTGACAAAAAAGAAGAAACCAAGATCTAAGGAAAAAAACAGGTATCACTGATGTCGTCAAATGTATAGATAAGTTCAAAAGAAATTGGACAGGTCACAAAGCGAGACTAAAAGACTTAAGATGAACCAGAAAATGGGAGAGACCTATATCCAGCAGTGAACAGAAAAGGTTGCATGATGGTGATGACTGAGGTGTTAAGTCAGGGTATTGACGAGACATTTAGACCTTTTTCTTAGTCGATTCAACTGCTAAATGTTTCATTCCAGTCATTAATTTGTATTGTTTTTATCTATAAAGGGGTTTTCCCCTCAATAAAGAGATAAATAAATATTCGTACTTAGTAATATGATGATTTAGTAAGCACTACAGCAGGGGTGCTTAAACTTGAACTGCTGGCGATCTACCTCAATATTTTTAGACTACTTACGATCGACTCTGAGAGACTGCAAGTGTGTGTGATGCAGGGTCGTCACACATATACGATACACCCTACCTACCTAGGTAGGGCGTACCGTAGCATATATAGATATTAGCTTTCTGTACAATATAGGTACATTATTTTAGTCAAGGTTTGGGTTAGGTTTAGTTAGGTTCTTCTCTACAATATCAATGAAAAAACTCATAGTTATTCAAAATTTCGAGTTTATTTGTTGTTACAAAACAAAAGAGTTACATATGGTGTTAAACTTAACTAAAGAGTGGTTTTGGATTTTGAAGCGTGGCACTGCATGTCCTCAGCATACTTTTCATAAGATGGTACGTAACCACTGAGTGCTAATCGCAAGCATGATGTCATATGATCGTCAGTTAGTCGATTGCGATATTTTGACTTAATTATCTTCATTTCAGAAAATGCAGACTCGCACAAGTAAATTACCCAAAAAATGCCGTCAGTTGAAGGGCGATTTGCCTTACATTCGAATATTTATCTTCAGATATAAAACGCCAGAAATTTGTATCAGATACTGTAGCTTTGAGATGTATATCTGATAGAATCTGCACCAACTCATTTTCAACAGAACATGAGTTCATATTAAACTGACTTGCTATTTCAGTAGCTAATTCCTCAGTGTTTTTACATGAAAAAGGATAACTCATAAATGATGCTATATTTTCCAATTTACTGCAATCATAAAAATGCATTTCGAATTGTCCCAAAATATTTGATAATTCAGCCTCATACGTATCATAATTCAACTGAGGAATCCTTGCTTTCAGAAGACGGAAAATGTTTCAGATCCTTTCTTTTCAGTTGATCTATCACAAGTTGCAATTTACTTTTGAATGCGTTAACTGCGCTAATCATCTCAATAATAGTTTTTCCTTTACCTTGAAGCTCCAAGTTAACGGTGTTTAAGTGCATTGTGATGTCAGTCAAAAATGCAAAATCATTTAGCCATTTTTCGTTTTTCAAAATCTGAGTGTCATCACCTCTTTCGTCTAGAAAAGCTGTTATTTCGGGCAATAATTCTTGAAACCTTTCTAGGAAATTTCCGCGACTCAACCACCTCACGTCCGTGTTAAGAACTAAATCAGTGTGTTCAGCTGACTCCCTATCTTCCAACTGCAACTGAAAGAGCCGCCGTTGCAAGCTACGTGCACGGATAGAATTCACAATTTTTGTTGCAATGCCCATAATTTCCTCCGTGTTTAAAACTTTTGAACACAAAACTTGTTGATGTATAATGCAAGAGAATGAAAAAAATGAAGGGAATTCTTCATTTGCTCGACACAATGCCACAAAACCGTTTTTGTTTCCAGTCATTGCTGGTGCTCCATCGGTTGTAATGCACATTAATTTATATATTGGTAGCTCGTAGTTTTTTACAAAATTTAAGAAAACATCATATATATATATATATTATAATATATATATATATATATATATATATTATATATATATATATTATATATATATATATATATATTCGCCACGGGTCTTCCCCTTCAGAGGAATGATTTTCAAAAATTCTTCCTTAGCCAATGTGTCATTGAATACCATCCGAATAAAAATACACAGCTGGGCAGTGTCTGTCATATCGATGGATTCGTCGAACTGTTAAGAAAAGTATGTTTTAGTTTATCTGCGATGTCTTGACTCATGACTTCAATACGCCTTGTGACAGTCGGACGAGATAACTGAAGTTCTCTAATAGCAGACATGATTTCTGTTTTATTTTTAAAATCTCCAAATAAAGTCTCACCCGTTTCAATAAATGCTTTCTTCACCACCGATCCATCTTCAAATGATTTCTTGTATTTCGCCAAAATATGAAATATTTTAAATGACGCGATCGTAGCAGCTTTTGAATGTTTGGCTGGTCTTGTGAACATGGATTGTTCTTTTTTCAAACAAGATATGTACAACAAATAAGATATTTCACTTACTTTTCGTTTTCTTAATTCACTCTGTGGCGGAAATTCCTTTTCATAGTTTTTATGAACCGTTTTATGATGCCTCTCTAAGTTACCACACTTAGGTATTGCTACTGACGCACGACAAATAACACAAATGCACTTATCCTTCACCATAGAAAAAAAAAATTCTTCCTCCCAATCCTTATTAAAATGATACGTTTTAGATTTCTTCACTGCACTCATTTTCCACTATTTAATAATAAACTTTGTATCGACGTAGGATCGTTATCAAGTTACAATTCAGAATAACTCCAATTCCTGCAGGCGCAACATTTATATCGGCGTGAACAAAAGTCTCGAATGTTCCCGTCAAACGCGCCGCCCGAAACTAGACTGTACTGTCTATAGTCTAGAAACAACACGGCTTTTCTTTGACAAGTGCCGCGCGTTCCTTTGATACAGCCATCTTTTGCCGCAAGCAGTATTATTTTATTACGTAATACATTTTTGTAGTTGATAGAATATCATCCCAAATTTGATTAATAATTATAATAAATATTGAATTAATAAAATAATTAGTTAATATATGTAAATATAAAATATGCTCTGTGGACGGTATTTTGTTGTTCCCACTTCTTTGAATTGCAATGATGCTTAGTCAGGCATTCTATGTATTTGTATAGTTCAGTATTAATAAAAACGTTTAACTCTGCTGACAGTAGTTTAGTTCCCTACCTACTTATTAAATTTTTTTTTCTTCTCGAGATCTACCCAAAAAGACCGTTTGAGCACCCTTACACTACAGTAAACGTAAGATTAAAAAGTAGTAATTTTTTATATTAAATTTCTTTCCCGTATTTTAATAAACATTTGAACTTGACATAAATACGTAAAAAATAAATAACCAAGAAATTTGTTAAAAGTTTAAAACGTTTAACAACAATTTTATTGAGTAATGACTGAAACATATTTTTATTAATTACCTTTCATTCTTTTTACTTCAATAGTCCTATTTCCCAAAGATTCCAGTCGGATTCCATCCCTCAGGTCTCTGTCATACAACCGTCCTTTAACAAAATGATTAAGTAAAATTTGCAAACCGTCCCCAGTCGACAAATAATTGTCAGGCATTTTATCCAGTCCAATTTTCTCGAATGCTGTGTCAGTGGGTACAAAGAATGAGTATCCCGTTCCTGATACATGCGGTGCTAGGTCAGCAAGATTCAGGAACCGTGTGATATGTGTGAATCTCTTGTCTCGTTCCAGTGCTAGGAAGGCGTGGGAAAGAAATTGAGCTCCGAACCATGGAAACGCTAAGAGTGGGGGAGTTTCTTTGTCCTTGTGTTGCTGATGGAGTTTGGACACTATAGATTCCGTAACAAACAGTACCTCTCCTATGAACATTATGTTTCCTCTGGCGACAGGTGTGTCTCCCTTGACTAGCATGGCTCCATTAACGGTAAGATTGGCTAAATAAAGAACAAATATTAATTAAAAAGGTATATTTTAAATTATAACGGTAATATCGTATATTAATAACGGTATTTTGTCTGGCACTGCCTCAGTTGTTGAACAAGGCAATATCTAAGTTTAAGCTTACTAGTTGCTTCTTCTATAGAAGCAACTATTAATGATAAACACAATTTTATTCTACTACACTAACGTAGTGCAGTGAATTTTGATCAAAGCAGTAGTGTCCGAGATCAAGAAAGCTCTGAAGAAGACATCTGAGAGGATGTCGAAAGCTCGGCGCAATGAAAATCACGCAGAAATTTTTCCGAACATTTCATATATATGTATATATGCGAACAAATGTTCTAATGGTTGTTATAAAAACTGATTGCGTAATACAGAAAATCAAAAAACAAAACTATAGAATCTTATTGTATTGAGTTTCACAACCTCTGCTTAAAAGAACAAAACTACTTACGTGTTTTTCGAAACACAATTTCCTTTCCTCCGATCGTTTTAATAACTTCTCCGTCCTTAATTAGTTCTTGTTTTAATCTACCTTTAACAAAATGATTAACAATTACACTCTCTGTAAATTCGGGGACACTAAATGGATAAAAACCCCAGTCAATTGGATGCCATCTTTGGAAAGCGTGGTCGGTCGGTACGAAAACGGTATATTCTTCATCTGCAAATAAAGAACGAACATATTAGGTATATCAGTGGATAACAAAAACAAAGTATAAAATAAATAAATAAAAAAAAACAAGGATAATTTTCATATATATAAGCTAATCTAACATAAAATTCACTTTTAGACCATATTCCATACGACAAAAGGCAACATAGGTTGCCTAATACACAGGTAATCCTCTTAAACATGACTTTAACACCATTGGTGATTTCACATCGATTATAACCCAAATTTTAAATCCCAACACCTATATTGCTGTTATTATTTTTTAAAATCATCAAAAATAATTTTTGAATATTTTGGCTGTAGTAATACTAGGTATAACTAATATAGTTCTATGTTGCATTGACATTTTGTTTTTGACACCTTTCATAGGTATATTGTAAATCAGTTTCCAGCTGTTCTCCGTGCGTAGAGGTTTTCTCCCCGGCTTTGGAACTCAAAATTTTTTGCAATGTATGTTACCTGAAGTCATAATTAATTTAATAATGAACATCACAGTTTTTTAACAACAAGATGTATAATCTTTTATAACTATAAGTAATTTAAAGGGTTTTTACCCATGTATTTTTGGTGGCTCAGGCATTTTTACCTAGTAAGTATAGTCATTTTGCTTTTTTAACCATGGTCAAAATTTCATAATGACGTTTGTTTTAACTAAATGGTTTGTACTTATTTTAGGCAGATTTTAAACCTGATGATGGACTGTTTAGTCCGAAAACGTTTGTTTTTTTTATGTAGCCCTTTTAAGGGTTTTTTAATAAATATACCCACTTACAAAGACTAACCTCTTTTTTGTGATACGGGGTATACAGCCAGCTACAGAAATTGTTTTCCTTGTGGATTTTTTTTTAAAGTACCTATAAAATATCCTATATGTTGGTAAATGTAGAGATGCAGTATTAAACTAGTAAAGGACATATTAATATAAATACAGTAATTCAAAAATATTATAGTTATCAAAAATATTATATCGCAATAAATATTTGTTTTCAATAGAAAACTGGGGAACACGTATTTATTGTTAACATGTGTGTTTTGTTTCATAATATTTCGTTATACTTAAAGTCAACCTTGTAGATTCAGCCATTTGTACGAACCTACTTGGTCTATTACCGCGGCAATATAATTAAAACTTGAGGTTATAAAAGGAAAACAGAGGGGAAATCGGGACACTCAAGCAATAATGGTAATGTTTCTTCTTCAATAAAACAGAAACGCAATCTTAGTGTCTCTAAACATATAATGAGGCAAACACTAGTAGATGGAAAGTCAAAGGGAAGACCCAAACTTAGATACATGGAACAAGTGGAACAAGATCTGAAAACACTTAAGATTGCCAACTAGAAAAACAAAGCAAGGAACAGAATAGAAGGGCGGAAAATCCTAGAACAAGCCACTACCCAGAAAGGGTTGTCGAGCTACTGATGATGATGATGAATCTCAGTTACGCATAGAAAACGACATCACCAGGAAAGTTCAAGTTAATCGCAATTTATTCATTTAATAAATAATTATCAGATTGTAAATTATAAGTAGTGTGTCAATAATAAAGATGTAAGAATAGACTATATGTACATTCTGAGTCTCCTTACTCCAAATATGAGATCATGAGATCCAGATTCAGTTGACCTACTGTTTCATTCTACTTCTACAATCCTAAATATTTTATTATATGATTGCCAAATGTCCACGTGAAGAGAGAGAGAGGAAGCGAGAGAGAGAGAGAGAGATAGAGAGAGAGAGAAAGAGAGGTTAAAGTGGGAGTAGGAGAATAATACAAATTGATATAGCAAAAAATGTAACATGGTTTTTCAAATGTAAAAAATTAAACAATTAGGTACACTTATAAACTTAGTATTGGCATATTTTTTATACTGTACCAACCCATAATAACTGTAATATTTATTCTTTCCTTTTTAGTGGTTAAGTAACTGTTTTACTGAGACCTAACAATAGGCTGTACCTTGTGCTGGCGATACCTATGGTCCAGGTTATAATAAAACCAATTCTGAGTAAATATTTTTCTTTTTTCTTTTTATCTTTCGAAAATGCACTCATACTTTCAAACAATTTATCATATTGTTTCTTTATATTTATCAATGTATTTACCTTATTGGTGAAGCGAGAACAAGTGAACCTTAGTATCTACTGTTTCTTGGAAGTATCTTACAAACCCCTCTATTCATATAAACGTTACATTTCAACCAATTCAACAAAAAATAAGTTTAAATTCGTACACTTCTAATAATTAAACCAATTATATTTCAAAGTTTAAAGAACTATTTTATCTTTTTATTTTTGAAGTTGATTTGACGAGATCGTAATTATCGGAGGAAGGAAGTAACAGTTTCTTGCAACTCTAAGTGGTCGCTAGAAAATGAAATATGTCATACAGACTGAGTGAAACTTCTAATTAAGTCTACTTGGCAAATAATAATGTAAGCTGGTACAGTATAGCTATTAGCGATTTATTTTATTTTGATAAAATAACGTAGCATCATTTTTTTTATTTAGAAAAGAAAACATATAATCCACATCAACCACGCAGGGTTATTAGTGGAGTAACGTACACAAGAATTTATTTTATTTACATTAAATAGATGTATGTAAACGTAAATCTTTTAAATAATTTATTACATGGTCAGTGTTAATGGTTAAAGTGGTTTTGATGTCACCTGAGATTCCATATTTTCTTCTTGTTTCTTCGTAGTACTGGCAGTCAATCAGAATATGCTTCACCGTCAATGGGAGAGAACATTTTCTGCAGGTTGGAGAAAATTCTTTGTTAATTAAAAATTTATGGGTCAGTACAGTGTGTCCAATTCTTAGTCGGTTAATTATAACTTGGTTCCTTCTTTGAAATGGATTGGAGGATTCTTCCAATCCTCACTCAAAACATTGACTGAACCATTAACTGCTACAAAACTACTTTTCACTGCAACATATTTCCATAAAAAGGGGCCAAAAACAGAAAACCATAAATTTGACGGATGAATTTGGTTTCATAATTGAGCCTACAACGACCCAAGTAAGAATAACGAAATTATCTTAATAATTCGTTCACATAACTTGAAACAAACAAAATGCTGAAATAACAAAACACAACGAAAATTAAGACGTAACTCATTAATTTGAAAACGCAGTACTTCGGGCGGCTTAAATCAAAGAATATTGAGCAACATACGCAGCCACGAAATAAATAAACAATTCTAAAATAGTTTTTATTACTTGGCGACGCGACGCTGAAAAGAACGAAATATTATTTGGGTTCTTATATGTACGAATAGGAAACTGAAATGCATTAAAAATACTCTTCGATTTTTCAAACATATATGAGGGGATTTCAATATATTACATACACGAGGGGATTTCAATATATATCAAAGAATCAATGAATTGCAAATGATACAAATGCTAGCTTTAACAGGAGCTCTAATTACATTTATGATGCTATTAAAAGCCACAAACAATGGGGTTGGACTTAAAATAAGGATCTTTAAGGGATTCCATTGGCTAGCATTTTTGGAGAACTTGTGATTCCATTTATTTTAACTTGTATGGAACGATTAGTTAAGAAATTTTTTATAAAAGCAAGCATGTTACCTTCAATTCCATAATTATTAAGTGTTGCTAATATAGAGTGTTTCCATGTCCTATCAAAAGCCTGGGTTATGTCAAAGAATATTGCAATCAACTTCTGATTGTTTGTAAAGGCTTCATTGATTGAGGTTTGTAGTAAAATATGATTATCTAATGTAGACCGTCCCTTGCGAACTTCACTCTGAAATGAGGTAAGGAGATCTGTTGTTTCTAAATACCATGTTAGACATAAGTTTTAACATTTTTCCAGTATTTTGCACATGCTGTATGTGAAAGAAATAGGAGTACGATGAGGGTATATCTTTGGGCTTATTGAGTTTAATAATGGGAATAGTTATTGCCTGAGACCAGAGTTTTGGAAATTTATGTTTTAAAAAACAGGTATTGAGTAAATCTTACAATATTATTTTTGCTCTGAAAGGTAGGTATTTTATGAATATTGGTGGAATATCATCTTGTCCTGGGGATGTACTTTTGGAGTTTACAATAGAGTATTCTAGTTCTTAAAGAGTTATGGTAGCATTTAATAAATCTCCAAATTCTTTATCAACGATTTTGAATGATTCTATATTTTGCTTATGTTATAAGAATTCCGGCGTTATATTTTGGTCGCTAGAATTTTCTTGGTTAACTTCGGTTAAAGTTTCACCAATAGCTTTTTCACAGGTGATGATCTCATTATTATATGTTAGTGCATTGATATATCTAAAGGAGTTGGTATCCTTAAGTTTTCGAATTGTGAAGGTGTTGACAAATTTATGGACGATACCAAGTATCTTGTTTGCTTTTTTCATAAGATATCTTGATTCAGCTCTAAGTTTTTTAAAATTAAGTAAGTTTTCGTCTGTATTATGTTTTTAAGGTTTATTAAAGGCATGTTTACAAGATGAGAGTGCTTTTGCAATTTCACTATTCTACCAAGGTGCGGGTTACCTTTTACAGGGTTTTGTCTTTCATATATTTTCAAAAGCTGCTTCTATAATATTTATTTATCGTATGGCAATTACAACACATTTAGAACAAAATTACAAACACTAGTAATATAGGTATATGACAAACTTTAAATAGTTACAAACAAACATCAAGTGTATTAACATAATCAATTGACTCTGAAGTTGCAAACAGGAAGTCTTCAAGGCTACCATTGAAGGATCTTGAGGGACACTCTTCAATAATGTGGTCGATCGTTTGGTTCTTCCCACAGTCACATTGAGGAGATGGATTCTTTCCCCATTTATGTAGCATATATGCACATCTGCCATGTCGGATCTTGTTTAGAGTGGACCATGTTTTACGTGGAAGATCAAAACCTGGTGGCTTGTGGGTAATGCAGGGCATGTTATTTTGCCATGCATTCCATTCTTGGAACCATGCATTCGTGATGTTGAACT